ATAAATCCTGAGGGCATTTCACTGACCTTCTCAGACCAAAAAGCCACAACTCTTGTTGCATAGGTCCTGCTTTACCTTGGTCTTAACCATCCAGTAGTTATTTCTATGTGATTGAAAATTAGACCATGAACATAACTTTTGGCCCATTTTGTCTCTCAATACCTGAATAACTACAGTTAAGGCAGTAGATATCGGAGCCTCAGTTGCCTCATTTAAAAAGTAAGGGGCTTAGATTAGACTGGCTTTAAGATTTCTTCTATCCCCCAAATTTTGTAAGCATTATGAAAATCAAATTAAAATTACTTGAAATGGAAAGAAACAAATAAAAAAGTGCAATTCTACCAGCTACAGAATGCAATTACATAGTTTTAATACCAGCGCAGCAAGGTTAAGAAAACAGCAACAAAAGGCTTCTTTTATTGATCAAAGCTCTTGACTATAAAGTAATGGGTAGTGCTCTTGGAATTTTCTTTAAATGCGATGAGCTGTGATTAATTTTTAGTTTGAATAAACAACCTTGAGAATCTGCTAGCTACAGCCCTGAGTGTCAGAGGGAGCGGGCGCTGTGACAGGAGTGAGGGGCAGGGCTGCAGAAATGTATTTGAAATCTCAATTTACACACACAAAAAGGAGAATTCAGAACTTAGGCACACACATCACGGGCCAGCTAGCAGTGGTGTCCTGGCATTTATTCCAGATAGTGCTCAAGTCTGAGAGTGTCTGTTACTAAAATTCAGAGAAAAGAAATGCAATCCTTATCAAGAGAAATAAAGCCTTTCTCTGGCTTTATGGGAACTCTTAAAAGGAAGAGCTGAGCCACCTTCAGCCACAAGGTAAACTCCCATGAAAGACGTCACCGCTCTGAGTCTGTCGCACAGAAGCGACCACCAGTATGCAGGTGTTGGGACAGTGGACCTCATGACCTAAGGAAAGATCCTTAGAGGGCTCATCTGACCCGAGACTGCAAAATATAGTGAAATCTAATTGTTTTTAGAAATCTTTTTAAAATTCTATCATCTATCTATCTATCTATCTATCTATCTATCTATCTGCCTGTCTGGTACAGGGTCTCACCACACAGCTTGGACTCACGGGGCCAGCACCACATGAGGTACCAGGGGATGAACCCAGGTCCTTCAGCTTGCCAGGCAGGTGCTTAGACCACGAAGTTATCTTCCCACCCCTGTAAAATCCAACTTTTGGGCACAGATGTGAATTCTCAAATTGGTAGACTTAGTCCTGGTAGACAGTAAATTTAAGGACAGAAAAACTTTCTCCTCTATGTGAGAGCGAAGAAATAATGAATGCTTGTTAGAAATGCTTGTGCCTCATTAAGGAAATACGTTCCTCATCCGCTGCCAGGTTCTGAAGCCCTTGGCTGGGGCCCAAAGAACACAGACTGAACAGCCTTTCATGAGATGAGTTCAGCTTTCCTCTTCAAGGGCAACCTCATTTCTATCATTAGATACTTTGGAATCCTAAGGAAAAACTCTCCCTAAGAGTTTAAAAACAAACAGCAATTTTGGGGATTTAACTTGGAAGAAGAATGCAAAGAGGCAAGACAAATATCAAATATCAGTAAGTTATATCTTAGCATTCTTATTAACAATTGAATTGGAACTCAGTCATTTGTACTGGTCCGAAGGTGAGTTGAGCAGTTGATGTACTGCTGGGAGGTGGGGCTGGGACAGAAGGAGGGGTCCCTGGGAGTGTGGCACACAGGATAAATCAGCCTCTCAGTGTCTTCCACCTTCTCGCCACTCCTGGTCATTGTGATGTGGGCTCTTCCGCCATGTACTTTCTCCACCTGAGCCTGCCACTCATGACAGACACTTACCCCAAAGGGTGCCAAAATAAACCTCCCATCCTTTGAATTGTGGACAGTGGATCTTCCCAGGAACAGAAAACTAGCAAAGACCTCAATCTCGTATTAAATTCGGGTTCTCTCTTCTCCATCTGCAGGCTATGATACAGTATCTTGTATCATTCTTATGTTGAAGACCATCTTTCAAGACACTCTTTCACTCAACATGATTAAATTTTGTCTATTGAAAAGACAGAATTGTTCCCATACTGTGAATATGTTTAGGATGAGTTTATTTTATTTTTAGTATTTTCAGGGAACATTCTACAGGGTATTCAGGATTTTACTACTAGATCAGACTCATAGTGATCCGCCTGTTTATAGCCTCCCAAGAGCTGGGATTACAGGTGCATGCCACCACATTCAATCTCAATTGCCTTCTCCGCGCACCCCAGAGGTAGGACTGGCATGGCAGGCCCGGGGATTGAACTCCCGGCCCCTGTGACTGCTTGCAGGCACTTTAATCTGCTGAGCTACTTGTCTGGCCCTAGGATGAGTTTAAAAAGTAAGAACATTGAACTCAGGCTCTTGTGCTTGCCAGACTAGTGCTTATTCTACTGAGCTATCTCCCCAGCCCCAAGAACTTTTAAATTCATTGGCATCTCTATATTAAATATCTCTTCTACTTACAAGGCATCTTTGCTTCTTCCTCATGGATTGGGAAGCCACTTTTCACTCATTTATATCATTTTGTTCTTATTAAGATTATATTTGAACATAAAAGAAAATCATTCCTTCCACTATGGCAAGGAGAACAGCAAATAATACACAATACAGATATGAACATTAGCACATATGGTGTCACATCTTTATTGTAGATTTGTATTTTTACTGGGGGATGTTATAGAGGTTCATCCTCTGGAAACCTTAACATTCACCTGACAAGGATTATAAAATCAAAAGAATGGAGAGTGAAAAGAATAACACCTTTGTTCTCAGCTTTATGACTCTATAGCTGAAAATATTACTTTTATTTTCCCCTCTACTTAAAAACAGAAATCCAAAGGAACGTTCCACTTCACTCGCACACGTGCTCAAATCCCATCATCACCAACCTAGCACCATCTGTTTTCATGTTCAATATAGAGCAGAAGTCCACAAATACGAGGAGAATAGGCTGTATCATCCTAGGACGGACCTCAAAGGTTACAACCTCCCCTGGTACCCCTGAACAGAACCCGGGATGGTACTGAAGGCAGCGGCATCTCATAAAACAAAATTAAGTGCTCAACTGAACTTTCCCAAGGTGGGAAAAGTTCAATTCTCTTTAACAATCTCATTTCCGAGAAATCCAAAAGTGCATTCCTGAAAAAATATATTACTTATGCGACTATTACTCTACTCAAAATCCTATTGCCACAAAAACCAAGTACTGCTCAGAAGCTGTTTCTCAGATTGGCTTCAATAATTCATATAAGATTTGAACATAAGTACTTTTTTAAGGATAAATTTAAGTAATATTTGATTGGTTCCCTATTTTTCTTTGTTTTCCTAACAAAGACCATAAAACACATCAAGAACAAGCAAGTGTTCTTTTCTTTGCAACATGTCCAAAACTACAAAACCAAGAAGACATGATTAAAATTCTATTTTTGGAGTATTTGTGGCATACATATTATAAAATTAAAGTTAAGAAAAAAAAACTTTGAAGAGCAACTTAAGGCATAGAAGCATCGTCTTTGGTAAGCGCCCTCTACCTGTGCACGAGTAGTCATCGATTCTGATGTACCCGGTCTTGCAGATGCACATGAAGGAGCCGGGGGTGTTGACGCACATGGTGTTCTCCCGACAGTAGTGGCGCCCTTCTGCACACTCGTCGATGTCTGTGAGGAGGAAGAGCATGGGTCAGCACGAGCTTGCAGCTAACAGTCTACAACTTACCTATGCTTTCCTTGAGGGAGGGTAGATGAATAGTTACTTGTTAAACAGTATTTTAAAAATCTATTCAAACTACATCTTTAATAGGAATGTTTGATGTTTGATATTAAAAATGTTAGAAACCATATGAATTCTTTCCGATAGTTTTTGTTACAATTTCAAAGGTCTGTCTATTTAAGTTTACATCATTCTAATTACCTTTTGAAATATTTGGCACATTCATTTATTTGGCTGCTTGGGCATGTTCAAATCTTCAATCATTGGGAACTTATTCCATATACATTTTTTTTCTTTCAAGTACTTAGTGCAGGGTCTACAGGGTCTCACTACACAGATCAGACTCATAGTGATCTTCCTGTTTTCAGCCTCCCAAGTGCTGGGATTTCAGGTGTGCGCCAACATTCCCAGTCTCGACTGCCATCTTGGTGTACCCCGGGGGTGGAGCGGCACAGCTAATCCATATACTTTTAAATCCACTGGTAAGGGAATATTTGGGGAGACACTGGAAGAGGTAAATAGCTAGAACTCAAATGAATTTACTTAAAGGTATAAACCCAATGACATGTAGTTTATTATAAACACAAGTAGCTACCCTTGTAAGTTTCTGAACAAAGATTAAATTATGAGGAACTGATATGGATGAGAATTTCTAAAATAGTTAAGTAAGATATAATATTGAAGAACTGACACAGAAATTGACACATTCAGGTTTGAGCATAAAAATATACTCTTATGTTGAGCCAGAAGAGGCCCAAGTACTCACTGTGATGAATGTCAATTTGTACAGTAAAACTGTCCCCACTTTGTGGCCTCTCTCTGCATGGCACATAAAGTACTTTGAAGACATTTTGTCATTATACAATATTCTTTTTTTTTTTTTTTTTTCAGAACCAGGGCTTGAACTCAGACCCTTGCGCTTGCCAAAGAAGTGTTTATTCTACTGAGCCATCTCCCCGGCCCCCTATAATATTCTTTATTAAGGGCTTTAATGTATTGACCAGACCGTGTATTTCTTCTCCAAACATCTACCTCATTGAATCCTTGTGATGATTTCATACAGGAGCACTGACCTCGTTTATACTATCACCAAAATTGATGGACCATAGCAGGTGATAAGGTGGCCAGTCACCACACGGCCACAGCCCTCATGAACCCTAACTACGGGTCCAGCCTCAAGAACCTTGGAAATGTAGCAGAAACCACCCTAGGAACCTACATTGTGGAGCTCCCAAGCTCTGACTGCTCACCTGTGCTAACTACTTACTTTATAAATGACAAACTGAGGCCCAAAGGGGCTCAGTCTTCCTTCATTCCATCAGTGTAAGAATGTCCAACGTCACCTTAGTGCACAGGCCTCCTCCAGTGCAGTCTCCACACACCCCACGGCTTCCCTCTCCTTCCCACTCGAGGCTCTGCCACCCCGAGCACCCAACCACTCACTGCACAAGCCAGGACCTTTCCTACTTAGGCACCTTTATGCATCGGGGCTCTCCTCTCACGCCTGCTCCTGCTCTCCTGACATTACTGTCATTACTGTCATCTTGTCCACCTGAGGCTTTATCTTTCAATATGTATTTTAATCCGTCTTCCTGTAGAACTTCCTCTTTGCAAATTTCTCTGTGTAGTGTTCACGGGCAACTATGAAAGTGTTTCCATTATTGGTGAATTACATGTTACTAACTTGTATAAATCTTCGTTCTCCTCAATAATGTTCTGCAAAGGTAAAACTTAACTTTGTCTGACTGTCTGTCTGTCTGTCCGTCCATCTACCTGCCCGCCTGCCCACCCGCCTGCCTGTCTCTCCCATGGCCTTAAGCATATTACACAAGTGCTCTCTCACACTGAGCTATATTTATAGCCTCCTTACTAATATTTCTTTGCTTTGGCTGTCTATAATATTAATCTGAAATGTTTCTTAACTAGAAAGAAATTCTAAAATTCATTTTAAAAATAAAAAATATCTCTTTTGTGCAAGACACCTTACACAAAAGGAACAATGCAGGAGGCATTATACAATATGATTTAAAAAAACCCACAAATTTTAGTGATCAAAACAGCATAGCAGTGACATAAAAACAGACACATAGATCAAAGAAACAGAGTCAGATGCCTAGATATAAATCCTTACATTTGTAATCAAATAATTTTCAACAAAAATGCTAAGAACACACATTGGAAATAAATCTTTTTAATAAAAGATGCTGCAAGAACTGGCTTGCAGCATGTGGAAGAATAAAAATGGATTTCTATTCCTACCAGTTATAAAAATAAACAAAATGGACTAAAATCCTCAATGTATTACAAAACTATCAGAAGAAATCAGAGTAAACACTTATGATACAGGTACAGGAAGTGTTTTCTTAGGTAGGACCGCAAAAGCACAGGAACGAGAAAATGCTGAAACCGACCAGCAGGGTCAGATCCAACCGCCGAGCCCCTGCACAGCGGCGTAGACAATCACTGCGCTACAGAAGGAAGAAGCTGTTAGCAAACTGCTCACCTGATGGGTGGAATGACCAGAATACATAATGAGTTTCAAAAAGGCAACAGAAAAACAAAAAACAAGTCAAAAACAGATAATAGATCTTAATAGGCAATTCTGAAAAGAAGGCAGATTAATGGCCAGCAGGTACATGGGAAAATGCTCAGCTTCTCCGTGAACAATCCCCACCCCACTAAGAACAGGTATAACCAAAGAGAATGATTTTTTTTTAAGTGCTGGTATGGATTTGAAAAAAAAAAAAAAAAGGGTACCTTTACATACTTTTAGTGACAATGAAATATGACAGCTCATTATGGATAACAGCACGAAGTGCCTCGAAAGTTAAGCTATCTGAAAGGTGCCTTATACCTGCGTAATCTCACTTCACGTATGCAGGAAATGAATTAGGGCACCAGAGGCATCGGCATTCCCACGTTCACTGCAGCTCCACTCACAATAGTCAAGAAACAGGGAGCAGCCCGAGTGGTGCTCCTCAACTAGTGGGTGGGCACACATGAAGTATACAAAGATTGTGTGTGTGTGTGTGTGTGTGTGTGTGTCTGTGTCTGTGTGTAAATACTACTTGGCCATAAAAAAAAGAATGCAGTACTATCATTTCTGACAATATAGACAGAACTTGAGACCTTTATATTACATAGAATAACTTAAGCAAATAAAGACAATACTTTATAACCTCACTTATATGGAATCTAAAAATGCTGATCACACAGAGGTTGAGAGTACGATGTTGGTCATTAGAGGCTGTGACAGCTGGGGGTCCAGGATTAGAAAGCTGATGAACAGGAGCTAAGACCCTCTCGGACAGGAACAGAAGTTCTGGTGTGCTCCTGCCGAGTAGGACAACTCTACACGGCATTAATGTACGGTACATTCATATCAAACCAGCGAGAAGAAAGGACTCTGGAGGTTTTCACAAGGAAATGCTAACTCCTTCTCCCTCCGGCCGCCTCAGGGTCCATCACCTCAGGAAGGACACAGGCGCTATCTGGACCCAGAAGCTCATGGCGGACTATTCTAAAGGAAAAAGTGCTCCTTGGTGGCTTTCTCTCTGGAAAAGCTACAGGATGTGACACAGAAATCTGAGGAAGGCACATCAGCACGTTCACGACTACCCTGGCAACCGTCTGCCTATTTGGATTCAGATCCCACTTTGGTGGTGGCAAGAAAAGTGGCCATGATGTGGTTTATGCTTATTTAGTTTTGCAAAGAAAATGAACTCAAACATAAACTTGTACAACATGGTCTGTACAGGAAGACAAACTCTTCAGGAAAAGAGTGGAAGAAACACAAGGACAACATGCCATGAGGCAGAGGGACTGCGGAGGCCCATGTCGGTGCTGGGAGAAAGCAAGGTGAAGACCGAGACCAGCAGAAGACGCGACGACCATGCTGCGACTTCTGCCGTGGTCGTGCACACTTGGCAGGAGAGGGATGATAAACTAGAAGCTGCAGAAAGTAAGAGAGATGGTAACTGCTTGAGGAGATAAATACGCTCCTCTCAACAGAACCCATTCCCATGTATAACTGCTAGGTGTCAGTTAAATCAAAAATAAAAACGATGGTTCTTGGGCCGACTCTCAAACTCTCACTCATGATTTAACTGTCTTTGATGGAGTGCAGGCAATGACTTGGACTTTTCTGTATAGCACACGGAAGTGATCTGGGCAGCATTCTGGTAGAGCCTTATTTGCAGAAATGAGTAGTGAGGCCCGGCTGGCTGACAGACCACAGGGTGCTGACTTCTGATATAATGTGTAAACAGGGTCACGCATCATTGAGAACCTCATTCACTCCTGTATCCAGAATACCATGCAAATTGTCTAGGGCATTATGGGGCCAATAAATTTTACACAATTAATGCAAAATGCTTGAAGGTACTTTATGAAGATTTAAAAATGTCCCTGAGATTTTCTGATTTCTAGACTAATACTCTTTTCATGGTACCATGCTCTTGATAAATGGCTGGACTGGGCCACAAAGAAAAAAAAATCACATTTACTTACAGCCTAAAAGTGAAACTAGGAATACTTTATGGAACCATGAAAATCCATTCGCTTGGATCCTAATGGGAGTCACGGGGGATTCAGCTCCGTGCGACCCTGTGAGGGGTGCCATGGTGGAGAGATTGAAACTACAGGGAAGCCCCGCACGAGTTCCCAAGTTTCAGCCTGAAAACAAGAAAGTGGCCATCAAGAAACCCATCTTCACAAGGTAGGATTTAAATTTGGAGATGAGAGTGTGAGGAGTAAGGAACACAACTCAGTGAAAATGACTTGTTATCAGACAAGGAATTGTTCTCTGCGTGCCCTTAAATCTTCACAAACAAGAGCAGTCCTCGACAACAGAATACAGCTTCTAGTAGACACAGGAAAGCAGCTTTGCTGGCCAGAAAGACTGCTGGAGCTGGATCAAGTGCTAACTGTAGCCCCTTCCACAGACAAA